AGCACTAAAATATTACTTGTATATTTCAACATGTATAAGGAAACCCTTATTAGATATTTTATGAAGGATCTTTTAAAAGGTAATATTATTGCATTTAAAAAAAATTATTTTATAGTTAAAATATAATTTGAGTTTGTAAAATAATTGGAGATTAAATTACAGTATATTTCCGTTTATAAGCCGAAAGTTTTTAAAACTTTTTGAAATTTAAGTTATGGGGTCGGCTTATATACGAATACGTTAAAAAAAAACAAACGTGGGTACTTTACCAGTAGTCTCCACAAAAATATAATATGTAAGTACATTTAACAGATGAATACTTTTATTTAAACTTATATATATATATATATATATATATATATTATTGAACATATATTCAGAAATCTTGCCTGGTACAAGAGATTGCAAGTTCAAGAACGCGATCTATGACGTATCAATTGATTAATAATTTTTGTATTGTCAAGATATCTCACTGCAAAGTTTGGAGGATTCTGCTTTAAAACAACATGCATCCTTAGTTTACCTTTGTTACTGTTAACCATTTTACTTTTGATGATGCACATTGATCAATAAATAGCCTATGCATTTACAAAGTTGCTTTGATTTCTTTGTAAACTGCAACGTCAGGAAAGTAATTCCAACCAATATTGTTTCAATTTCAAATGGTCTAGATGGCCCTTCCTTTCCTAAAAGTTTGTGACCCTGGTGCTGAGATATACTGTATATATATTTTCAGTTGAAATAATCTGAACGAAAAGATACTAAACGTAATTTTTTAATTCGGGTCAGTGTCCTTGATTAAGCGGAAAAGCAACGAAATTTTTCCTTGGGAATTGGACAGGCATGTCACCTGAGAGAAGTGTGGGTGTCGCGATTATTTCATTTATGATTTAAAAATGGAGGTGAAAATATACCTGAGAGTTTTAAACCACTTTCGCCTTTTACCTTCGTTAAATATTGTAAAAATCGTAATATTGTAAATTAGTATTGTAACCGTAATACTAATTTTCCAAATTTTAAGATGTCTGCTAGGATTTTACCGGTATGTCTGGCACTTCCAGGATCACTTCAGGAACACTCGACGAGGATAGTTCCTTTTGGATATTTTGTTCGATTTTTTCTTTGACTTCGAGAGTGAAGCTGCACCTTTCTTTCAGTTGGACGAAAAGGACAGATCTTGGATCTCCACTCACACTGTCTTGACAAACGCAGATAAAATCTTGTAGCTCCTCCAACTCTTCGACTGTTCAATAATGAAAATCATAGTTACTTTTTCAAATAATTAATAATTTTTGTACTGTTTACTATTAACAAAAATATAGTTTTTATAATATGTATTATATATATATATATATATATATATAATACATATTATACAGTAGTACCGGAAAGTACCGGAGTAGTCAGTCACAAGAAAAGATTAGAGTGAATGCATAAAGAGAATAAAATGTACTAATTTGCGTATGAGTTTTGCACATTTCTTGCACTGTTTTTGCAATATTAATAAAAAAAATTAGTATTACGATTTTAGGGGCCTATGGCCGAGTGACTGGCGCTTTGCCGCACAATGCCATGGATGTTTGTAGTGGTTTGGAATCCACTTTAAGTCGTTGGTCCCCGGTCTAATACGACCCCGGTTGGTCCCCTGTCTACATTAGAGCTTTGGGCTTAGGGCTGATAACCCTACCCTTAAAAAGTCATCATTACGGAGCAAAGTCAGACTTCTATCTACGGGTACTCCATCACAACAGAAGCTGTCTCGCCTTTTCCTCCTTTCATGAGATCACATGGGTTCTCGGACTTGGTCCAGATGTTGCCGTCTACTAAGTGGGATAAGAAACAACAACAGTATTACGACTTCATTCTGCAGTTTGGTTATTAAGGCAGCTTTAATTGTAAATAAATATAAATATATAAGTATATACATTCTACACCTCACCTTTCTTATTTTTCTTCATAGTGCCAAGGTTTATTTACATTCATCCACTGTTTCATCCCATCTATTACTTTGAGTTACACTTTATCTCTTTATCTACATTGCCGTCTCATCTAAATGCCTGCTAAGTCTATGTAAACTTTCATCAACATTGTTATCCTACTTAGAAAGAATATCTTTTTGCTCACGAACTCATTCCGAACTTTTATCTTGGATATCTCGCGAATTATCATCATCTTCATATGTTTTAACTTATATTACTCCATCACAAGTTAGACTGGACTAGATTGGATAAGAGATAAGATAGACTGGAACTCGTTCTGATTTCAAGTTATCTTATTTCATCTTTCTTCTGCTGTTCCACCGTTATGGTACTTCTTGAACAGGCTGATACTTACATTTTCAAACAATTGGGGTTAAGAGATATATGGCCTAGGTACCTCATCTTCCATTAACTTTTTGTTTCACTTAGTTTGCATACTGCAAAGTCCTGATAGTGAGACTCCTGAGGCGTGCTACTTGGAATCATGATTACGTTTGCTTGTTGGATGTGTTTCGAAACTGATTTTCATATGCGTGAATACTATCACTCCTTTTACTCTGTCTATTTAGTTTACGAGTGAGTAAACGACGAATTTACGAGTAAGTAAAAGGCATTCAAAAATATATCATACTACTGTGTCCAAAAAAGTAAGACTAATTTTCAATTTAAAATTCCGGGGGCTTATGGAATTTCAATTTTTCTTTCTTTTTTAGGTTGCTGGCACTGTCCTTGACATCTGTGTGAAATTTGATGTCAAAATATTCGTTAGTGTTTGAGTTACGCTTTGCTTTGTGAGACGCTAAAACTGATTCCGGCGATTTTTGAAATGTCTGAATTAATTCAGCAAAGAGCTTGCACTAAATTTTGTTTGCGGAAATGTATAGAATGTTGCAGATGGCATTCCGTGAGCGTTTCTATATCGAAAATAAATGTTTAGAAGGGGTAAAAACAGTTCAAAGAAAGCAGAGAACGTATTGAAAACTAAGAGCCCTCTAGTCGACCATCAACCTCAACTGTCGAAGCTCACGTCCAAAAAATTTGGTGCTTGAAAACAGTCGATTTACAATTGGAGACCTTACTGATGATGTTGGAATTTCAAAAGGATCGGTCAATTCTATTTTGAGACTCAAACGCGTCAAATCTCGATTGGTACCGAAAACACTGAATACGCCAGCTCACACTGCATTGATCCTTCGTAACTTTTTTTGCCAAAAATAAAACCCATATCATTCCACAAGCACCGTATTCACTCCGGCTATCCCCTAAACTCAAAAGACCTCTCCGGGGACACCGTTTTGAGTCGATTGAAGAGATTCAACGTGAATCGGCGCTTGCTTTGAAGATCATCCCTGCCGATGACTTTTTAGCATGCATTGAGGATTGAAAAAAATGTTGGCATAAATGCATTGTATTCGGAGCGGATTACTCTGAAAGCGATGAAATGAATTTTGAAGAATGAATAAGAGTTTATGAAAAAAGAATAATTAGTCTTACTTTTTGGGCACAGTAATATGTCTTATTATAGTATAGTAAAATACATTCCATTACCTAAATCAGGTGTGGTCAACCCACGGCCTGCCTTTAATATTTTTCAAACTTTTACAAAATATATTTATTTTATAATGACCAAAGTAGTAAAAATCAATGTATTAAAAAAATATATTATGTGTGCATCCCTATATTCAAAAATGAACTGTCAAAATTATGAGAAAAATTAACCTTGATTTTAAAATAATATTCTTGCGAATATATGACAGATATTGCCTGTTTTATTTATGAGTTTACTGAATAATTAAATTATATTCTGCGAAATCATGATGCACGCGCATCTTGGAACATCTAATATAACAGGATAAATCGGTATCGATTTGAAAACGCTAAGTGAAAGAGTGGAGAAACAAATATCGTACTAGTAAAATAAAAAATAAAAAATGAAATCATTAAAAAATATTTATTTCTTTTATATTTATATATTTTTTATATTTCAATTTTAGTGTTATATATTTGTTTACAATGTGCGTTTAGTAGTAATATTATTATATTATCTATGTTTACATGTAAAAAGAATAATAAATACAAAAATAATAACTCGTTATGTTTCAATTTTTCACTCCAAGAAAATGTCTATAGTGAGTCTAAATCTAATACGGGGATATATGATTTTATATGCGGTCCGCGAAGTTATGGTGCATTTCCAAAGTGGCTCACAAAATCATTTGGGTTCGCCACTCCTGATCTAAATAAAATATCTAAATCGTGCTGCCATCTATCGGGAAAATGTTTATAAATTTGTCTTCAAACAGCAAATTTTATTCAAGTTCAAAATAAAAAAAAATATGTTAAATTTGTGCTGGCATCTATTTGTAAATATATAAATATCTTTTACATTTTGTTAAATTACAATATTATTAAAAATAACTGCTCTCTAAAACATGAAATTTAAATAATTAAACTGACATACGTTTGCATGTTTTTGTAACAGATATACTTACTTGCTAGGTAAATATCATCAGGGCTCAGGCGTTCACCATACTGCTTTAAAACATTATCACTAAGGACAAATAATAAAAGAAATAATAAGATAAAGAGAAAATGTACCAATATGTAGGAATTAAAAAAAAACAACCCTACAATTGTTACCTTCTTCCAATTACTGTGAAGCCTTTTGTATGTGGATTAAAGTAACCTTCATCATTTTGACACCAAACTCCTATACAAAAACAAATATAACTATTACGAATGTTTAAGTTTCATAAAGTGTGAATCGTAATATATTTATTTTTAAATTAAAAGAAATTCGTAGTAATTGTTGGAAATAAAAATGTTAGTTTATATTTTGATGCTATGCTTTTAAAATTTTCATTCATGCTTTTGGTTTTATAAGGTTATTTAACTAATAACATTTAAAATGAAAGAGTATAAACTATTAAAAACTTTAGCTGCATACGCTGTAAAAATGTAATAAGAATTATATACAAATTTATATGCATATATATATATAAATATAAATATATGCTAGCCAACGGCCATACCATGCTGAATATACCGGTTCTCGTTAGATCACCGAAATGAAGCATCATTGGGCGCGGTCAGTACTTGGGTGGGTGACCACCTGGGAACACCGCGTGCCGTTGGCAAATTTGGGACCTGAATGGCCGAGTGTCTAGCGCTCTGGCGCTCGGTGCCACAGGTTTCGGGTTCGAATCCCGGCGGTGCCATGGATGTTTGTAGTGGTTCGGAATCCACTTTAAGCCGTAGGTCCCGGTCTCCCATGACTGTAAGAGCATCACGGAGCAAAAGTCAGGCTTCTACCTACGGGTGCTCCATCACAACAGAAGCTGCTTCCTTCCCCTTCAATCATGAGCACGTATGGGCTCGTGGGCTTGGCCAGCCAAATGGGATAAGAAACAACAACATAATATGTAAATATATGCAATAAATTTGTATATAATTCTTATTACATTTTTACAGCGTATGCAAGCTAAAGTTTTTATATATATAAATATATATAATATAATTTTTTTATAAGTATGGTTCATATGTCTATTCTTCCTTCCTTAAAATTGAATTAAATAACATCTTCCGCTTTCTGGAAAATAAAAATAGTTAGATCATATATTAATAGTTCATATATATTAAAATTCAATTAACTTGAGATATTAGAAAAAAAAAAAAAGGAAATAATAGTGCTAATTTTATTATTAATTAAAAATAATGATTTATAATTATAAATACATATTTTGTGTATATTTTTATTTACTGAAAAGTTTTAATATTTTAATGACATCATTTTATAAGGGTATACTTTTCAAATTACTTTCTGTTCTTTCATGTAAAAATTATGTTTGTTTTTGCAAATCTTGGGCCATTTTTTTCATTCAATTTATGTTCAAAATATGGGATTCGAAACAGGCCCTTATGTTCTAATATATGATTATTATCGAAACTTTTAAAGACAAACTTGTAAAAAGACAACTAAAGCTTATTAAAGATAGTGATTCAGAAATAAAATGTGAATTTGATGAATGCATACCACTCACCCATGCCATACTTGCTGAAATATGCCTCATTCATCCTCTCGTTGTCCGCATCTCCCCACAGAAAGATCGGAAGTGACGGAGTAGGTGACGTCACTACCATTTCTCCTCGTTGGCCAACCACAGAGTTACCTTTAAAAATGCGTTTTAACTGATTATAAAATAAAATTAATTCTTATCACTGGTGACAAATAAAAAATTTCATTGATCAAATTCTCCTTGCTGGTGTTGGAAAGCCTTATCATCCAATGCCAGCTAATTCTACAATTCCTATTCTTATAATACCATTCTTGATAATCCAGTAAACAGTATTACTATTTTCAATCATGTTTCTTACATCAAATGCCATACGTTATCACTTGCCATCGAATATCACCTTCATGAATTATTACGAACTTCATAAATTTTTTAATCTTCCATCTAGAATTTTTTAATCATTTCATTTATTCTTATTGTATTACTTTCCTTCCGTCTCTAACCATTTTTTATCTTATAAATTATCTCTAATATTAAAGGAGCTAATTGATTCTCAAATCCCTCAATTAGGATCGTTATTACTATAAAAATTGTCACAAAAGCTTGAGTAAAAGCAATTACATTATAAAATAGTTTGCGCATCACTACTGTAGAGTACACAGGAGTGAAAACTTTAACAATAAGCTTTATCCATAATTGCTATAAATAAAGCTAGTCGAAGTGAATAATAACTGGTAGGGCTGGAGTTGATTAAGAATGTGGGATGGGCTTGATGATGAATTGATGTTGTGGTATGACATGAATGCGTTTATTTTCAATGAAAGGAAGTTATATTTGCATGGCAGATGCCTTGATGGCTTCCATTGCTGATTTCCTAGTAGAAATGCAGCATACAGATGTTCAATAGCAAAATAAGCTGAGTAATTCAAACTTGCTCAACTGATAACTACATTATAGAAACATTAGTAAAATTAAGAAATAAGAATAGGAAGTCGAATAAGACCAAATGCTGACAGAAATGGTTGAGAATTTTTGTTGATATCTTTAGACCACATAGCTTTATAGTACCATTTTTGTTAACGATACCAAGATTTTATGATTTTTTTTTACTTTATTGATTGGCATTATAACAATAATACATCAAATTTTGCTATAATTTATTGAATAGAGATTTCTTAATTAAGCTTGAAATACTTCTTTAAACTTTTAAAAGATTTTTGTTTTCCTTAGATCGTTTAAAAATTTAAAAAAAAAAATGAACAAGTTGATAGATGACATTGTACCAAAATCTGTGCCATGAATTCAAATTTTTTTGGTATAATAATTTATTCAGTTTTATTTATTTATTATTTTTAGTTCTGCTGATAGATGGCGCTTTACGATTGGAAGCATACATTTATAAATTTATTATTCTAAGACAATTGTTGATCTGCTCATTACTTAACTTCAATGTCGTACCATGTTTACTAATCTGCTTAATAGAACAAAGGCTCAATTCTATCGCATATTTAAGTCTCTTTGAAGCAGTTCCCTTTGACTGCATTTGGTCTCAAATAACTAATTAATAGCATTCGACATTAAATGTAATCGGTTCTTGTATTACAAATATAATTTTTTTGA